AATTTTCAGGTCACGTCTTTTGGGGATAGTTGGTTTTCTTCATAACCGATGTTGGATCGTTCGGGAAAAATTTCTGTGAATATTTGAGATTTGCCTTAGGCAACAAAGAAAGTAACATAAATTCAGGCCGACGAAAATGGATACCGAATAAATCCAACCCCTGGAAGGGTTTTAATCTCGTGGTTAAAGGCAATGCAAACAAACTCCTGTTCTTAGAGTAGAATTCGTTTTGGAAAGTACTTGTGTAAAGAATTGGAATGACCGATAAAGGATGATGGAAATGAACCAAGCAACAACTCCACAAAGATATAGGCTTTTCATAGGTCCCAAACCTCACTGTGCCAAACGGAAACTTGATCACTATAAAAGTCTATCTTTAATGTTATTCAAACAGAGGAGAAAGAGGAGCTGGCTTCAGATGAAATTGTTGACAAAACTCCGGGGTAATGACAACCAATTAATGTTTTCCATTGATCGTTTCCACAAAAATAAATTGATAAAAAATGGGAATAAAATAATTTAATTTAAGAATGATTTTTTTTGTGTTTAATTTTACAATTTACTGTACCAATAGGTTTCGTCGCTATTTTGGTAAATAAATATTTTTTTTTTTTTATTTTTTTACCGCAGCGTTTTCTTTGGCATGTACAAGTAAATTGAAACAGATTTATTAAAAGTGAAATCCCATTTTGATGTGTGGAGAAATAAATGATTACATTTTGGTAAAAAAAACCCAATTACGAAAATTATTACTTAAATTTACTTATTTAAATACTTCTTTGAAAAAAGATACTTCGATCAAATTTGTGGTGAACAGTTTATTTACCTTTAATTCGACTCTTTGTGTGATTTAATGAATAAAAGTTTAATGTTACGAAATAACTAAACAAACATATAAGCTTTTATAAAATTTCGTTAAAAATGTATACAGGCTACAACTATGAACCAAAGGGTAAAGTGTACATGTACCAATACTCTTCCCTTTGTTATGTGTTATTTTTAATTCGTGTATTTGTAGAAATTATATCTAAATTTAATAAATAATGATTTAATAACTAATTCACTTGCAACATATATGGTCGGCACTTTTTGCTTAATATTATTTTTTAAATAGGATGAGTAACCTGTTCCTATTAAGAGAAGAAATTAATAATAACTTTTTTTTTAATTTTAACAGTTAGAATTGTTTTTTTGGGGAACGGTGTGAAACAGTCATTATTTTTTCCTGTTTAAAGTGAAGGGTCCCTTTACCAACTGCCATTATGTAATGCCCGGAACTATCTTAGCGCGGACCTCTGTTTGGAATTTCGACGACCGAGAATAGATATTCCGGGTTTGTAACGACAGCCGGTGTTTTGACTTCATTTTCTTGCAATTTTACAAATCAATGACATTTTCGAAAAGAAATTGTAAAAAACTAAGTATTTTCCATTTAGCCTTTTTTTAATTTTGTGGGTTTTGTTTGATTTGGGGTTTTTACGTCACCCACCGATGTGTATAGGTCATATGGCCGACGTTCCAGCTTTACTGGTGGGAGTAAGACCTCAGTGCATAATTTCGCAGGCCACGAACAGGCACCTTTAAGTTTGAAAAAACCGACGTTCCCGTAAAGCCTAGTTTTGATTTAGCTTCCTCCCATGAAAATAATCTCAAAAGTCCCTATTCGGGATTCGAACCTACACAGTTAGTTAGTTGGGGCAAGTGGGTTTGGAAAGTCCCAACGACCTTAACAAGGTCGACCACGTTTTTTTAATAGTGAGCAAAGTACTAATTAAAAACTTAAAATTCATATTCAGCAAAATGAACGTCATGCTAAGAATGCAATTGATTGATTGATAAAAAAAGTGCGTGGAATGACGTTCATATAAAACACGCCGTTGGTCTGACATGGGGTGTATGACAGATTTTTCTAGCACTGGTGTAATTAATAGATAAACTTCTTCATATAAGCACAATGACGTCATGCTAAGAACGGAATTGATTGATATAAGGAGCATGAGAATTACGTCATATTAAACACGCAGGTTGACTTAGACGGGATGTATGGCAGATATTTCTAGTACCGGTGTAACAATAGATAAAACTTCTTCATATAAGAGACAATGGACGGTAATGCTAAGAACGGAATTGATTTGATATAGGACATGGAATTACGTCATATTAAAAAACCCCCACGCACGTTGACTTTAGACGGGATGTTATGACAGATTTTTTCTAGTAACCGGTGGTAAACAATAGATAAACTTATTCATATCAATAAGAATTACGTCATGCTTAGAATGCAATTGATTGATAAAAGGTGCATGAGGAATGACGTTTATATATAAGACACGCAAGTTGGCTAACAAGGGATGTATGACAGATTTTTCTGCACCGGTGTAAGCAGAAGATAATCCTTTCTTATATGCAAGAACGATAAATTAGCACTTGTTACTCAGTTGTTACTGAGGAAACAGTTATAAATCAGTACCTGTTTTTGTATAGTGAACCAGTCATTATCATACCTGTTGCTATAGAGTGAATCAGCAATTGCTTTCATGATGAAGTAAACGCTTTATTAGGAATTCTGTAAATACAAAGTTAGTTACAAATATGCCATTACATATTTTAGCCTTTCACGGTGGTATACGAGATCAATACCTTTTTTTGTATAGTGAGTTAATCCTATATTAATACCTGTTTCTATAGAGTGAATCAGCAACTGCTATCATGATGAGGTAAACACCCATCAGTAAATCAGCAACTGCTAGGTTTGTTACAAATATGCCATAACCTATTTTCAGCCTTTCACGATCGTACACGAAGACGGTAGATAATTGACGATAGGTTCCCGGACAATGAAGCTACCCAACTATCCAAAGGACAGCTTGAAGTACACAGTTCTCATAAGGTCTTCACATGAAGAAAATTCATTCTTCAATGTTTGCAATCTTCTTCGCGTACATAATAAGGACGGATACAGCAGAATTTAAATGCAGGTGTATGAAGCTCCCGAAGTGATCTGACGCCGTTAAACATAGATTCTCCGAATTTTTTTATAACTTTATTGCCTTCAAAGTTAATTTTATGAACAAGCGTATCATTTGAAGGCAAAATCTTCAATTTCCTCAATTCTATTGTAAGAAATATCAATACTGTTCCAACTGCAAGCCAGAGAACGTAATTGAACTAATCTTTTTCAGGTTTGTGCCGGAAATTTTCAAGCTTCTTACTGCTTTCAAACCTTTTAAAAGCAGTCGATGAAATCATTGTTAATTCTTTATTTCTGTCAAGATTCAAATAGGTCAGATGACGGAGCTTGCTAAATACCATATCAGGTAATCGCTGTATTCTATTGTTGCTAAGATCTAACGATAGCAAATGTTTCAAATCAAAAGAAGGCCCTTCCATCAATATAATGAATACTACATGATGAAATATTAAGTTCGTAACATGTAAGGAAAACTTAAATTTTGTTCACTGTATTTCTTTAAACTTGTGGATTTATACTTAAATCAAGACTTCTAGCTTGTACAGTCAATGATGAAATGTCAGACATTGATATATTGGCTGCATGACAATTGATTAACATCTCCCGTACAAATACATTTCTCTGGACATACAGAATTACAAAAGTCGTTCATCATCACCATTTCTGCAATGAATGACATCATCACATACTTGTTCAAAATGGTATACATTGCTTACTAGACAAAATCTGTACTTCCCAGCACATGGTACGATTTGTAGCCTCTGAAATGAAAGACAATATATTTTTTACACATAAGTTTTAAAAACATATCGTCATCACATTTACATTTAATCGCTGTTAGCATAGTTATGTCCCATATTTTTGGTTTTCCTTAGTTGTTAGATTTATGATATGGTCAGTTATTACCGATGTAATCATTTGATAAAGCTAATATGAAATATAAAATTAGTCAAAGCTCATATTTATTTTAAGGTACTTCTTTGGCCATTTTGTTTGAAAAATATGATTGATAAAAAACATGGCGCATGCACGAACAGTCGAAGCAAGACCGCTTTTAATTGCCGCAAACTAAATAAATTTCACATTTATTTCACCATAAATACTCTATATTTTTCTTTAAAAATATAATATAAAATAAACACACAATATTTTATGTGTATTGAAACCGCATCATGCATTTATGAATAAATCAATCAATATATTACTGCGCGCTGTACAATTGCAGTTGCGTAGCAATCAAGGGGATTCGTAACCATTTTTCATTGATAATAACAATAAAGCAAAAGGTTTGTTTTTCATTTTTGTGTGAAATATTGTATATATTTTCCCTCATGGTCGACTCTTAAAAAATATGGCATTTTGTCATGTTTCGTGAAAATATATTCCATATTTCACTCCAACGAAAAAATATTCTCTTTATCTCTAAAATCAACGAAAAAAAAAAAACACCTTTCAAAATATAAAACGATGTAATATTTTATATAATTTAACTAATATGTGTAGGCAAAACGAGTAAAGCTGACAATGCTGTTACCTGTACATATTTCTGGAAATCGTCTGAATCCAATCGAAAATAGAGAACTCCATTTACTGATGTGTATATCCTTTACATATTTGTATCTGTTTTCTTTATAAAGTGAAGAACTGAAATCTTTTATCAACCGATATATTGTAAACAATGGCTCTGAAATATTGGACAATGCTAGGCTAGCGACAACTGATGATTCCAATACTGTTTTCAAGTACAATAACGCTCTTTTTTCTTGCTTTGGAAAACTGCAGTCTTTTAAGAAAGTCTCTTTGCCATTGTTTTAAACTTGCATCCAGTTTCCTTAGTTTTTCTGTTCACTCGGTTACACGTTCTATGTTTATTTCCAATAACCTGTAATCTATGTCAAACTTCATTTCTCTATGCAGAATTTTAAAAATAAAACAATCTTACGGTGTTATTGTCATTGTTTGTGAAAAATTGTTTTGCTAAATGCGTTGCTGCTTCCCTGCTCTCAGAGTCATCATTTTCCACAAATAAGATTACTTCTCTATCCGAGTCTCCGCAAGCTGAAATTAGAATTAAAATCAAAAGACAGAATGCACTGTATTTAGGTCATACAAAATATGTATTTTTGTAATCTTGACTTAACAGTTTTCCCCTCAGTCTGCTTAAATATCAACATCATAACAAAGACTCTGAGCAAGTTACACATACACTTGAAATAAATAATTTGCTGGTTTTTTTTCCGATACTGTGTACGACGATTTTGAGAACAGAAGAGTCAGAGGTATTCTTTTTACAATTAGTATTAATATCTAAGCAACAATTTATCGATTGATACCCAATGTTTAAATGAAGCATAAAATCAAAGACCTTCAATATCTTATTTAACTCTGATATTAACTCGTCAACAGAAGATTTCATGAAACAGAAATAAAAGTAAACCAAAACGTAAAATGTCACATTTGATATGCATATAGTGAACAATAATACGTATTGAGATCGCATATTCTATTATCTTTCTGAATGCATTTGAAATTAACACAGATTCACGAAAAACTGGGTCAGTTGTTACACCCGGCTAGACAATTCATTACAAACTTCATTTTTTGTACTTCTGACTAATTTTTGCTAAATTTGACCCTTATAACAAGCTTCGAATTTTTCTATTTCTTGTTTCAATAGATCCAAGTGTTTTAACGCGTACTTTCTAAAAATACCTTGTCAACATTATAAAACATGCATGCACATGATGTATGTAGTTGTGTGTAGTAAATCGTACGATATGTCCTGACTTAATTATTAAATAAGTTGTTGCCCTCTGCATATATATCAACACAATAAAAACAAGCCAATCGATTTGTTTTAATCATTTCATATTGTAGACTGAAAATTTAGGTTTATTTTGTCTCTCTTTTCGCAAATATAATGAATCTTTTAACAATCTCTGAAAAGGGTAGGCAATAAAGCGCCTGCTGATTAATGAAAACGAACTTATGCCATATTTTAAGATAGAGCAGCAAATTAATGTTTAAAGAGTTAAGATAGTCATGAAAGAAGTATTTGCTTGAGTTGTTGAGTTATTGGTCGGAAAAATGTTATGATATTAAAAGTCATTGTGACTTTTACCTTCAACCTTTGACTCCATAATCAATTGGGGGCATTTTAATTTTTTAAGAAACTTTTGGCTTTAAGGCCAAAAGGGGGCCCAAAAGGTTTTCGAGTTTTTTTTTTAAATAAAGTTTTTTTCATACAAGAAAGAATGCCTTGAACCCTTTTATCCTATGACTCCTCCCAATTGGGTTTAAAGAATATCCAAACAATTCACCGTTTAAAAATTTTAGGGGGGGAATTTTCAAAAGGGTTTTGAGTTTTTTCGATCTAACCGTATTTATAGACTAGGTGAATGTGACCTCGACATTTGATCAATTGAAATAAAATTATAATTTATTCTGACTTCAAAGATCCATGTACCTTAGAAGTTTGAGGTAAATGGATTCAAAGGCTGTTGTTCTATTGTCGGTAAAATGTTTTGTTGTAAAATATCCAGATTACCTTTGACCAGTAAACCCGTAACCCAAAAATCAATACGGATCATATGCTTGCCAAGATCATAGTATTTCTTTAACTTCCAAAGACCATCTATTTATAGGTTATACCATTAACATAACAATAAAAAAAAACATCTAATTAAAAATTATGATAAATCTTCAGTAATTTCACATTTTTTTTTAATTTTTCAAAGAAAATCATCTTAGCTCACTATAGGCAATCGGATTTACAGTGTAATGTCGGATATGCTATGTTTGCTTTCAAAACTTATTATGTATGTATAAATCTGGAGATGTGTGAACTCATCAAATGTCAAAATCTTAGATTGGTAATACCATAGCATCAAACAATTAGATCATTTTAGAGATATCCATTGGTACTTTATCAAACATGGCATTTAGTGAATATAGCGGTTTGTCTGACTGCTTTGATGACGCTTTCTGTGCAGTGGTATTTCTCACTTAATTGGAAAAGAGCCTAAGCTTCTTCAATTTGGGTAAAAAATATTGATAAAATTGTAAAATTGGTAACTATATTATTTTAGAGAAAATTTCGATTGGGAAGAGGCCTTTTACATACATCTGTTGGATAAAGTGCAAAATCACTGCTGTGTAAGATAAAACGTTCCATTTTAAGTCAAAGAAACCCTAAATTATGTAAATGGTTTAATAATATTCAATCTGTAAGTATTATAGAATCAAGTACTTAAAGCACTTTACGATGTAATTTCTATATTTAACTCTAATTATTACTGAAGGAAAACACTAATTGACAGTATGTTTTTTTCGATCATTTCACGTAGCTTAAAGTTATGGGGCTTCGATATATTTCTGCGGTCCCGATTTTTCAGTCATAACTAAAGGATCTGATTGGATTAGGACGTTGATATGTTGGCTGATTGGTGCCATTCGTGTTTTTGCCCCGCGACCCCGCCAAGCAAAAAGTCTAAAACTAGCAAGTTAAAAATGCGGTCGAAAACATGCTTATAAGTTCGGACGCGGGGCGGAGTTAACAAAATAAAACTTCGCCCCGCGGGGCGCGGAGCAAGATTTCAGAATTTAATATTATATTAAATAAATAAAACTGTGTCCAGTGATCTCGCTATTAGCGTGTTTTCGCTCTGCATCCCAACCATTTGAACTTATCAATCACGACTTTTCGCGTGGCGGGGTCGCGGGGCGAAGTTTCTTTATATAATTATTGAAAAAAAAAAACAGAAACATTTTTACTAACACTTATCCGTAGATATAGAGGTGGAATACCAACGTTAATAAAAAATGTCTGGAATTTTTAAATGATATAATTTGCCTGTATAACTTAACTACTTGTTTCAACATTGTTTTCAATTTAAGAAGACAAAGTACTTAGATCCCAACAAAATAAATTAAATTGTCACATAAACCACAACGTAGGAGATTAATAAAGCCATGTAGTTTTCAAAACGATGTAACTCTTGTGTAATAACAATTCTATGTGACGCCCTTTGCGTTGAATGTAAACATAGAGTTAGTGAGCGTTCAATTATAGGCGTGTCCATGCCAAATTACAAATTTTAACTACAAACCAATCTTATTTTGGTTATGTGATAAATATAATATCAAATTCGTGGAGATTAAATAGGAAATTTATGGAACTCCTTGAATAAAAAGTTATATCTCGCCAGGGGTCGCATATGAAGTTTTATTTAAAAAGTTCAAAAAATTTTATTTTAAATCTACCTCTTTAAATTTGTGTATTTTTTTATTATCATGAAAAAAATTTAAAATTTAAATAAATTTTTCTACATTATATGCCCACTAAAAAAAAAATATACAACTAATGAAAAAGTCTTAACAAATTTAAACGATATCATTGCCAAACATGAAATTAATGTGTTTTTTTTCAGCAGGTATGACAATGGTCTAATGTGTAGGTGAACAATTGCATGGCAAAGGGCTAATCTGTTGGCATGATAAATGTCAGATATATAAATTGGATATTATGTAGTTATGACAATGGAATAATATGTAGTTATGACAATGAGATAATCTGTAGATATGACAATGGGATAAACCGAAGATATGACTATGTGCTTACCTGTAGATATGACAATGGGATAATCTGTATATATGTCAATGGGATAAACTGTAGATATGACAATGGGATAATCTGTATATATGTCAATGGGATAAACTGTAGGTATAACAATGAAATAATATGTAGATAAGGCAAGGAGATAATCTGTAGATATGACAATGGGATAATCTTTAGATATGACAATGGGATAATCTGTAGATATTTACAATGGAATAATCTGTAGATATTTACAATGGAATAATCTGTAGATATGGCAATGAGATAATCTGTAGAAATGACAATGGAATTGGTAGGGTGACAATCAAGCCATTCAGAAACTTGAACCCGGACCCATTTTTTAACAAGGGGTGTCATATACCAAAATGTTCCAATATTCGTAGTTTACAAAACTGCCGGCATAAATTGGCATTAATGGTAGCGAACAGAAAAATCCAAAAATATGGAAATAGCAACTTAATTACTTTTACTTGATTTTAATCAGTTAAAACAGCTGAGTTTGTTCTTTTCATACATTTGTGTACCAAAAACATGTCACACATACAAAATTTGTATATATTTTAATGTAAAAATATCTTTAAAAAGACACAGGCTGAAAATTGTGGCGAAAAATAATAAAAATTGCTAATATTTTAAGATGTCCGAACATATTTCCATGTAATAATGCAATTTACAAATTAGTTGATTTACCATGGTTTATATTACAGGAAACCATCCTCTCCCTAAGAAATGTGCTATTTATTTTATTTGTATCATAGTTTGGGGACCTTTCTGTTGAAAAAGTGTCAGAGTTAAATCGTATACATATACATGCACAGTGCAGTAACTGGAGTGCAGGTATCAGTTACCCGCACTCCAGATCATGCCCGTTGATTGGCTCATTTTTGTTGGGGTTTACATATTGTGACGGCAGAGAAAGGGAAAGCGGCAGAAATATCATATTCAGATGCTCGATCATTGGTTACTTTTTCCCGGGGTTTAAAATTGTGACAACAGGGAACGTGTTTTTATGTTTGACTATGATACAAAAGAGAAAGAACACCAAAACACTCGGCAATCTGATTTATACTCGGGGGCTACGCCCCCTCGTACAAATCAGATAGCCTCGTATTTCGGTGCTCTTTCTATTACATAATTGTATTTTTTGAGAAAATGTGTATATTTTAAAGTGGGTGGGGTAAATAAAAATTTAATCAAAATCTCACATTTATTGTAAGAAACATAACTTTTATTTATTTAAATTGTTAGTAATAGAAAGAGCACCGAAACACGAGGCTATCTGATTTGTACGAGGGGGCGTAGCCCCCGAGTATTAATCAGATTGCCGAGTGTTTTGGTGTTCTTTCTCTTTTGTATCATAGTCAAACATAAAAACACGTTCCCTGTTGTCACAATATGAAACCCCGGCAAAAATGAACAAATGAACGAACATCTGAATATG